ATAATTTTGAGCGTTCCTTTTAAAAACAAAGAAACCAATGTCCCATAAAATCAAAACATCCCCCATTTTGTTCGCATCAAATAGCCAACATGAGTATGAAAGGGTTAAATTTTTATCAAAACGACAAATATACCAAGATTTTATTATTATATCTGGACTTTAATTTGCTTTTGAAGAATAACTTTCTCATTAAGATGGAATCTTATAAGAAAATGTCACTGATCTTTACATTCAGAAGTCGTTATCATGTAATGTCTTACATGTGCATGCTAACCAAAATGGCACTCTTATTGATGATACTTAATTTCTGCAGCTCATGCACATAGTGCAAGCGTGTGTCATTAGGAGTAGCTGCAGCCATCAATAGTAATAGATGTACTATTTACGGAGCTTCAAAGGAAGAAGAATTGATATCCGCCTCCTCGTCTCAAGATAGAAGAAATTTAGGACAATCCAATATCAAATAAGAGTTCAGAAACCTCAGTTGTCTGCCATTCTATCCTGAAGGTCTGAAGAACTGGCATCATCTGAACAACAGAATCACCCAGACTACGTCCAAACAGCTAACGACTGAAATTCGTCCGAACAACTGTCACACCGAACAACTGAAGACTAATATCAGCTTTAACAACTGTACAACTCCGACAAATCCTGAACGGTTGACACCTAAATCTCGTCTAACCCTGAAAAATCGTCACAACAACTGTATTACCAGAGCATAGTCTGACTGACTGACGCCTGAAATTCATCCTAACAATCGACGCCTGAAATTCATCCTAACAATCGACACCTGAATCCCACCCCAACAACCGACGCCTGAATTTCATCCCAACAACCGACGCCTGAATTTCATCCCAATCGACGCCTGAATTTCATCCCAACAATCGACGCCTGAATTTCATCCCAACAACCGACGCCTGAATTTCATCCCAAGAATCGACGCCTGAATTTCATCCCAAGAATCGACGCCTGAATTTCATCCCAACAGTCGACGCCTGAATTTCATCCCAACAATCAACGCCTGAATTTCATCCCAACAACCGACGCCTGGAATTCATCCCAACAATCGACGCCTGAATTTCATCCCAACAATCGACGCCTGAATTTCATCCCAGCAACCGACGCCTGAATTTCATCCCAACAATCGACGCCTGAATTTCATCCCAACAATCGACGCCTGAATTTCATCCCAGCAACCGGCGCCTGAATTTCATCCCAACAATCGACGCCTGAATTTTATCCCAACAATCGACGCCTGAATTTCATCCCAACAACCGACGCCTGGAATTCATCCCAACAACCGACGCCTGAATTTCATCCCAACAATCGACGCCTGAATTTCATCCCAACAACCGACGCCTGGATTTCATCCCAACACTCCACGCCTGAATTCATCCCAACAATCGACGCCTGAATTTCATCCCAACAATCGACGCCTGAATTTCATCCCAATAATCGATGCCTGAAATTAGTCAGCACATCTGACGCTTAACAATTTTAACAAAGTGTGACAAACTGACCAGGAATTTCGTCTGAATCGCTGAAGCTTAAATTCTTCGCAACAACCGTAGCACCAAAACCAAAGTCTGAACAACAAGCCACTGAACAACTTAACAACAGCAAAACAACTTAAAAATTAAATCGCCCGAACAAAGTCTGAGGCTAATTCAGGTGAACAGTAAGACAGGTAAGTAACATTACCGAATTTCATATATCGATATATATTTTCTTTAACACAGAAATATTGACCGTATTTCGCAACCCAAAGAGGCGTGAAGGGATTGTTTCTTTACCGTACTTAGCGATATTCCAGCTGTATGAGTGAGTGAGGTTTTACGCCGCTTTTAGCAATGTTTCCGGAAGGTACACCAGAAATGGATTTCACACATTGTACCCATGTCGGGAATCGAACCAGGAACATCGGTGTGACGAGTGAACGCTTTAACCACTAGGCTATATGACGAAATGCGTCAGCTCCTGAAAACCAGTTTTATTTAGTCCGTTAAACTGCATGTTTTGCTTTATATTATTTTGTAAAATATATATTCGAACCAGTGACTGCCACATACAAAATACCCGTGAAGATCCAGGTTAGAATTGATCTTCAGCAACCCATGCTTGTAAGAGGGGACTGACGGGAGCGGGTGGTCAGGCTCGCTGGCTTGGTTGACACATGTCATCGTATTCCGATTGTGTAGGGCGATTCTCGTGATGTTGATCACTGGATTGTCCGACTCAGACTCGATTATTTACAGACCGCCGCCATATGGCTGACATATTGCTGAAATTCCAAAAGGCCTCAAATAATGTTTCATGCTGTTACCCTCACCCGACTTTAAGTGTGTAAAATTAAAACATTTGGGCTCTGAGTCAGTAATCTGTGTTTGAGTGAGTGAGTTGCACTCAGCAATATTCCAGCTATATGACGGCGGTCTGTAAATAATCACCAGACAATCCAGTGATCAACATCATGAGTATCGATCTACACAATTGGAATATGAACGTGTATTCGGGTTTGAAATTCAAGCCCAAATGTGTCAGTACTGATACATAGTTTGAGTGAATATATTTTTCAGAACTTTAACATATTTGCCGTATGAGTATACATTCATGCTCACCGAGATCTAACTACCAAACTAAACTTTTCCCCATTAAGAACCAGGACCTAGATTTTCGAAGCTCTCTTGGCGCTAAGATAGTCGTAAGTTAATGTTAATGTATGGCACTTACGGCTATCTTAGCGCTAAGAGAGCTTCGAAATTCTAGGCCCTGCCCTTCTCCAGTCCTGGTTTTACGTTACAATATCTTCTGACAATGGGGACAATAGATGTTGATGGGGTAAAGTGTCACCGTGAGAGTGAGAACACTGGTTTGTGAGAATGAATCTGGGGGTGAGAACGTGTGGCATTAACGGTAAAATGGTGACGAGAAGGTCAGAGTGAAGGGGTGAAGTTGGTTGAGGTAACGTTTGGCCTTCAGGGTAAACTTGTGAATCTGGTGGTGGGAACGTTGGGCATTAACGGTAAAATGGTGACGAGAAGGTCAGAGTGAAGGGGTGAAGTTGGTTGAGATAACGTTTGGCCTTCACGGTAAAATGGTGACGAGAAGGTCAGAGTGAAGGGGTGAATTTGGTTGAGATAGAACGTTGGTGGAACGTTAGGCATTAACGGTAAAATGGTGACGAGAAGGTCAGAGTGAAGGGGTGAAGTTGGTTGAGATAACGTTAGGCCTTCACGGTAAACTTGTGAAGCTGGTGGTGAGAACATTAGGCATTAACGGTAAAATGGTGACGAGAAGGTCAGAGTGAAGGGGTGAAGTTGGTTGAGATAACGTTTCGCCTTCAGGGTAAACTTGTGAATCTGGTGGTGGGAACGTTGGGCATTAACGGTAAAATGGTGACGAGAAGGTCAGAGTGAAGGGGTGAAGTTGGTTGAGATAACGTTTGGCCTTCACGGTAAACTTGTGAAGCTGGTGGTGAGAACGTTAGGCATTAACGGTAAAATGGTGACGAGAAGGTCAGAGTGAAGGGGTGAAGTTGGTTGAGATAACGTTTGGCCTTCACGGTAAACTTGTGAAGCTGGTGGTGGGAACGTTAGGCATTAACGGTAAAATGGTGACGAGAAGGTCAGAGTGAAGGTGAAGTTATTGAGATAACGCTTGGCCTTCACGGTAAAATGGTGAACGTTGGAAATTAACGAAGGGTGAAGGGGTGAAGTTGGTTGAGATAACGTTTGGCCTTCACGGTAAAATGGTGACGAGAAGGTCAGAGTGAAGGGGTGAATTTGGTTGAGATAACGTTAGGCCTTCACGGTAAACTTGTGAAGCTGGTGGTGAGAACATTAGGCATTAACGGTAAAATGGTGACGAGAAGGTCAGAGTGAAGGGGTGAAGTTGGTTGAGATAACGTTTGGCCTTCAGGGTAAACTTGTGAATCTGGTGGTGGGAACGTTGGGCATTAACGGTAAAATGGTGACGAGAAGGTCAGAGTGAAGGGGTGAAGTTGGTTGAGATAACGTTTGGCCTTCACGGTAAACTTGTGAAGCTGGTGGTGAGAACATTAGGCATTAACGGTAAAATGGTGACGAGAAGGTCAGAGTGAAGGGGTGAAGTTGGTTGAGATAACGTTTGGCCTTCACGGTAAACTTGTGAAAGCTGGTGGTGAGAACGTTAGGCATTAACGGTAAAATGGTGACGAGAAGGTCAGAGTGAAGGGGTGAAGTTGGTTGAGATAACGTTTGGCCTTCACGGTAAACTTGTGAATCTGGTGGTGAGAACGTTGGGCATTAACGGTAAAATGGTGACGAGAAGGTCAGAGTGAAGGGGTGAAGTTGGTTGAGATAACGTTTGGCCTTCACGGTAAACTTGTGAAGCTGGTGGTGAGAACATTAGGCATTAACGGTAAAATGGTGACGAGAAGGTCAGAGTGAAGGGGTGAAGTTGGTTGAGATAACGTTTGGCCTTCACGGTAAACTTGTGAATCTGGTGGTGAGAACGTTAGGCATTAACGGTAAAATGGTGACGAGAAGGTCAGAGTGAAGGGGTGAAGTTGGTTGAGATAACGTTTGGCCTTCACGATAAAATTGTGAATCTGGTGGTGAGAACGTTAGGCATTAACGGTAAAATGGTGACGAGAAGGTCAGAGTGAAGGGGTGAAGTTGGTTGAGATAACGTTTGGCCTTCACGATAAAATTGTGAATCTGGTGGTGAGAACGTTAGGCATTAACAGTAAAATGGTGACGAGAAGGTCAGACTGAAGGGGTGAAGTTGGTTGAGAGAACGTTCAGCCTCAACTGTGAAAGGGTATACTGTGGTGGTTTGGAGAAGTCTTTGGAGAAGTTTGATGCTGAGAATGGAGATCTTGACGGTGAAAGGTTCAATGCTGCTGTGAAACATTTGTAATAAACCTTGATTAAAAGTTGAATGATTGGGTCAAGGGAACATTGCATTAAAAGTTAATCTCTCTATGCTAAACTATTACATTCTTCCATTTCAGAATCAAAATGGCCGTCTCTGTAAACTCGACCTTGACCTATGAGGGACTGTCTAATGGGCTCCGTATCTTTCACTCAGTCTGCTCCATCACAATTGCTGTGGCGGGGACTGTGGGCAACAGCTTCAGTATCTACAGATTGACTCAGAAGGGTCAAAAACAGCAAACCTGTAACATATACCTTGCAAACCTCAGCGTCAACAACCTTCTCAGCTCTGGGATCATTCTTCCTCTCATCGCCATCAATTCCTTCTTCAAGGGTTGGATCTACGGCACTGCGTTCTGCAAATTCTTTGCATATTTCTTGTACAGCAACATTTGCGCCGAGGCGAACGCTTTCGTCCTCCTGACCGTCAACCGCTTCATGAAGATAGTCCATCCCAAAACCTACAACACTGTGTATGGCAGGACTCGGAACAACGCCATCATCATAGGTGCTGGCTGGTTGATGTATGCCATAATCTTCATCTTGCCACTGACCGACGCACTGGGTCAGTTTGCCTTCGACCCCAACAAGAACTTCTGTGGAATAATTAACAAAGACAAGTTTGCTTCGGTCGTTGCAATGTGTATCCTTTCAACATCCCTTCCAGTCATCGTCTTCAGCTACGTGTCCATCTTTCGCACATATAAGAAGTCCAAGCAGAAGATAGCGGATAAGAAGGATGTGGAGCAAACGAACACAGGAATCCACTCCAAACAGGAAGTGCGACTTCTGCGCATGATCATAATTATCCTCGTATGTTTCGTGCTCACCTATACCCCCTTTGCCGTGATGACAATCATAGATCCAAGCATGGAGCTTGCCGGACAATGGATCCACACCATCATGTCGTACATCACATGGACACACCTCTTTATTAATCCGATCATATATATAATAAAGAGCCCTAAGAAGTAAATGATTGATGGTTAGATTGCACCAGCATTGAACGGCCATATATATATATATATATATATATATATATATACACTCATGCCAATAATGGTTGTCATCCCCTTTAATTTTTAATTATAGAGGGGGGGTGGGGTGGGGGCAGGGGGTGACAACCATTATTGGCATGAGTATATATTGATAGCTCTCCGTGACTTGGTGTTGTGAGAACAAACAAGTGAGTGAGTGAGTTTAGTTTGACGCTGCTGTTAGCAATGTAACCAGTAATGGGGTTGACACATTATACCCATGTGGGGAATTGAACCCGGGTCTTCGGCGTGACGAGCAAACGCTCCCCAAGAACAAACACCAAAGCGAAAGTGCATACAATATAGATAGAAGCAATATGTATTTTGCTTAATAAAACCTGGAAACATTCATGGATACTGGATGTTGGTGCCTAAGTCCTTGTACGTTTTTTATGGCTTGGCATGCTGTGGAGATCCGTCTTTAGTTTTCTATTGTTTCGTAACATGCGATGAACGGGATAAAGGTGGTAAGTCGGGTCATTGTATCCCAGTTTAGTTCTTTGAGCTCATTATGTCAATCCCGGGACTATTGACAGACCGCGATTATAAAGTTTGGACCCGTGAAGATCCGGGTTAGAATGAATCTTCAGTAACCCATGAATGTCGCAAGAGGCGACTCACGGGATCGGGTGGTCAGGCTCGCTGGCTTGGTTGACACGTGTAAGCGGTTCCCAAATGCGAAGTTCGGTGCTCATGCTGTTGATCACTGGATTGTCTGGTCCAGACTCAATTATTTACATGCTAGTGAACCCCTGTGTGGCGCGGTGCGGTGCGGTGCGGTGCGGTGCGGCCCATTTGCATATGCCAGGTGCACTGTTCTTATGAACTGTTGATTGTTATCATACCTTAAAACATTTGTCTTTCCATGTAATAATATTCCATTCTCAGCAGTTTACCACTAATTCTGTTTATGTATCACAATAACTTTGGCTGTTGCGTATATTTGGCTATGCGTGTTTTATTATATATTGTCCAAAATGATTATTGGTTATGCTGAATTCATATATGTACGTGCATTATGTTATGATGGGTGGGGCGGTGGGGCGGTGGGGTAGCCTAGTGGTTAAAGCGTTGGCTCGTCACGCCGAAGACCCGGGTTCGAATCCCAACATGGGTACATTGTGTGAAGCCCATTTCTGGTGTCCCCCGCCGTGATGTTGCTGGAATATTGCTAAAAGCGGCGTAAAACTAAACTCAGTCACAGTTATGGCGGGTGATCTTGGCATGGGTGTTGCATGCTAGTGTGTGGAATCATACTAAATCCAATTATGAATAATGAAGAAAAAGGTTTAAAAGTATGAAGAAAACGAATTCATCTGTCAATTACTGTTATTTACTTACATTAAGTGATTAAAAGCCAGTCCGTTGTAGAAATGTCCCGATTTCAAGCGTAAATGTTGTAGCAGCGATGGTTACCTTCGATACGGAAGTACGCTATTGCGGCTGCGTAGAATTACCGGAAGGGAGGAATTACCGGACTCGCTTGTTGACAAATGTTCCACCAAACCTTGAACCATCTGATGATCAACACGCAAACAACGTTTTTCATGTGTTGTCGTACAATTAAAGGTACACGTAGTGGTATTGTGTCCTGGCAAAATCTCTGTCACTGGTGTTTCCAAATGGTGGTGGTGGAATTGGGTTTAACGTCGTGCTTGAGAATATTTTGCTCATATGACGACGTGCATGCATGTGTATGTGTATGTGCGGCTGCTTGTACTAGCCTAGACTCAAGCTGGTTTCATAGTGCTAGCCCACTGAGATACCATGCCGCAGTGAAGCATGAATACCCCACTCACACACATTATACTGACTCCGAGGCGACCAGTCCTTGTTGTACCCATTAATGCCGAACGCCAGACAGGGACCAACAAGTACCATATTTTAACGTCTTTTGGTATGACGCGGTCGGGGATCGAACCCGCGACCTTCCGCACTCCGGGCGGATGCACTAACCACTACACCACGGAGGAGGTCGGTGTTTCCAAGTTGAAACACTGAGTGATCCCGAAATCTGCGCGCAAAAGAATTACATGAGAGTGAGTGAGTGAGTTTGGTTTTACACCGCTTTTAGCAACATTCCAGCAATATCGCGGCGGGGGACACCAGAAGTAGGCTTCACGCATTGAACCCGTGTTGGGGAGGCAAACCCGGTCTTCGGCGTGGCGAGCGGATGCTTTCACCAATACGCTACAACACCACCACCCCCAAATTGATAATTAGGGTTAGTGAGTAGGTTTGAGCGCTATTTTAGTTATATCGCGGTGTCTTATCTTGAGATGGGCTAGGATACTTTGATGACATCACTAGGGTACGGTTAAAAAAGTGAATTATTCACGGTAAAAAAAGGAAGAAGAAAAATAAGGACCCGTGAACATTCAGCTGTAGTTAAGAAAACGTCTTTGGATGGGTGACCGTATTTGGCAGCTTGACTCCCCAGAGTGATGTCACCGCTTCAGCATAAATAGGGATGCGCCTGAAAGTGGTCTTCACAGTTCTTCGGTTAACAAACGAAGCACATCCTCTACTTTGAAACAATGAACGGGGCCTGCCTTCTGCTTCTCCTCCTGCCTTCTGCAGCCTTGGCCTTGAACCTGGTTCCAAATAAGTCACATGTCAGTTAGCACAGTGGTTGGTGTTGCTGCAAGGCAGCCTGGAAACTCACCTTCGACTCCCCAAATGGGCACACCCCTAGAGAGCTTTGCTATACATGTATTAAAAAGTGTCTCGGCATGGACTGCTGAGACCAATTCTAACCCGGATCATCACGGGTGTCAGATATTTCACGGCAGGTCAAATTAAAAACTACGGAATCATTAATTCTGCTAAAAATATCCAGCAATCATCGGGTACGAATATATTTTGATGTGAAACTGTTCCCTCTAAATTCTACTCAGATACGCTGCATTAACAGGGGCGTATATCTACCATTATAAAAAAAGCCCGGACTTACACATGATTGTTGCTAAAAGGGTAGGACAAGCCCTCAATACTATTTTAATATAAAGCTTTTCAACCTATCGGGCTTAAACGAAATAATTGGCTTGCTATGCGCCTGATTAAGGTCGTTTCCGCAGTTCAGGAATTCTTGCAATGTGTCCGATCAAGTTAAACCACAACATGGTTTGTAAGGAAAACCGGAGTTCGGTCAAAAAAGGTTCGGACAGCCAAATGCGAGCGCAAATGGTGATAAAGCAGTATTATGTAAGCTAACTCGTCTTATTACATTACATTTACTCCATGGGCACGGTCCCTGCATAGTTACATCAACTGGCCACGTCAGAAATCCATGATCGTGTTCGCCCCAAATACGTTTCTAGCTGTTTGTGGTCGTGGCTGTAACCCAAGTGCCTTGTTGAGATTAGTTAGACCGTTTTCAGCAATATTCCAGTCATATCATGGCAGGGGACACTGGAGGTGTGGGACAATCGAGCCCGAGACCAACTGACAAAGTTGGGGTTGGGTGGTGGCGTAGACTGTCTTTAAGCGTTCGCTTAGATTTGACCAAAGATCCCCCATATGATCCAGCGCGTGAAGCCGATTTCTTCTAACCCCGTAGTGATTTTGCTGGAGTATTGCTGAAAAAAACCGTGTAAAAACTCACTCACCGAAAGCAGGGTTCAACTAACCTCACTCACTCATCATCTATTTTTTTCAACACAGGAGCAGCACAAGGAACCGTAGCCTTCCACGCCAATGCTCAGGACAAAACTATTCAGCTCTATACAGGAAGACCTATCCCCTTCGACCACGCCTTGTCAACGCAGGCTCTGCTTACAACGCTCAGACTGGAAGGTTCACGGCTCCTGTGGCTGGAATCTACCTGTTCTGGACCCAGATAGAGTGAACTAAACCCGGCGTGGCTATCACCATGTTTATCTTCCAGTCTGGGAAGCCGATCAGCGCGGGGTACATGGAGACCAACAGCGACCTTGCTGATGACACCGGCTCCGCAATGGTGGCTACTCATCTGACGAAGGGTGAAGAGGTCTGGGTCGAGATTGAAAAGGATTTCTCAATGATCGTGTTTCCGTCCTCCTATTTCGGTGGGGTGTTGCTGTATGCTGACGATGGTACTGGTCCCATTCTCGGTTGATATGAATAAACGGAAAGAAAAGCTTTCTGAGTTTTAAATCAAATTTATAGTGTCTGTTTTATCTACAATAATAAATCTGTCTGTAAATAAAAGGGACGCTGGAGATCACCATCGTGGTCGTCGTCGACGACGGTATCATCATCATCATCATCATCATCGTCATCATCATCATCATCATCCTAATTACCACAAATTGTCAATCTTCATCCCCATTAACACAATCATTATCATCATCGTCGTTATTATCAAATTCATCTTGTATTTGGAAATTCCATCTGGAATTATAAATTTAATGTTGTATTATAAAATTCAACTTGTATTAGTACATTCAAGCTCGGTACAGTGAACATTAATTTCATTTGGGACATATTTCCCCTAATCACTCGTACCTCGTGGGTTATTCACTAAATCTTGTATTAAAAATTCCATCGTATATTATTTAATTCAACTTGTATTATAATATTCAACTTGCATTATAAAATTCAAATTGCATTATAAAATCCATCTTGTGTTATAAAATAGTTTACTTGTAGTATAAAATTCATCCTGTATCATAAAAATTCAGCTTGTATTACAAAACTCAAAGATTATTGAAATACGGACCGTCAAACCACGACAGGTGCCCCGACTCGATCACTGTGATGGAACATGGCTATCACGCTATAACTGAATGAGTGAGTGAGTGTGTGAGTGAGTATGGTTTTACGCCGCTGTTAAGTAAATATTCCATCATGTATCTTCGCGTGACGGGCGGATTTTACCAGAAATGGGCTTCACATATTGTGCCCATGTGGGGATTCGAACCCAGGTCTTCGGGTACAATGGGTACAATGTGTGAATCCCATTTCTGGTGTCCCCCGCCGTGATATTGCTGTAATTTTGCTAAAAGCGGCGTAAACTCAAACTCACTAACTAATAGAAGTGCATCACAAATGAAAATGTGTCATTAACTGCTAGTGTGTTACTGAAGACGTGTTAAGGGTTCATAGTTTTATTACTATTTGCTATTGTATGAAAGGGCAACATAAAAGAGCAAATAACCAATTTACTATGACATTAGTCACTGAAATATTGTCATTAAACCAGAATTGTTGATCACTGAAAGCGTGTTAAGGGTTCACAGTTATATAACTATCATCTAATTGTATGAAAAGGCGGCAACATGCAAGAGCAAAAAAAACTAATTACCCTTCTTTGAGTGGCAAATGTAGACGTTGGAGAGTCAGATAAGGACACATTTAAAACTTTATGGAAGAACAACTTTTCCATACAGATTCTTGCATCGTTGTCAAGGAAGATGTATCGAGACGTCGCATCACCTGAATATAGAAGTTGTTCAACCATAAGGATTGTCCGTGTCCAATTAACACTAAGATTAGTCACTGATAATTAGTCAGGGAAAATACAAAGTGAATAACTAAGGAACTTGTTCGTCGGTAATAAGCAGACAGTGACAAAAACAACACTATGAAAAAAATATTGACCAGCTACACATACACAGCTCAAATACTCCCCAAGAAAATATGTTAGTCACCTCTTACGACATGCATGGGGGGCTGATGTCAAATTCTAACCCGGATCTTCACGGATACTGCACTTTATCCACACCAACTATTATTTCATTTTTGAACAAAATAAAGATGATTCATTATTGACGAGTAATTTCGAGATAGGTCTGCTTAAGAATTAAGAACATAGGCATGTGATATATCATCCTTCATATTCCCTCAAGCATTGGGTGCTGACGATCACTTCTGACCCGGATCTTCACGGGTCGACTTGTAGGTATGTGTTTGATACACGAGACCAATTCTGACCCGGATCGTTACGTGTCTGACACATGAGGCGTGTTGATGACTCATTAATGTCGATGTGTGACAACTCTCAGTCTTCACAGTTTGGTTCTATCACATTCACAGTGACGCATGGGGAGAATTACTAAAGCAAGCGTACACCCTCGGACGACTCAATGTTCACTCACTTGTGTCATCTTCAGCCTGTACCAGCAGCAGCAGCTCCAGACTAAACATGGACGAATACCAGGGTTTTACAGTACTTGACCTCTACTGCGGTGCCGCAGAGTGTGGGGAAGATGTCTCTGAAGAACAAACACCTGAAAGAAGGACAAATTCCAAGAAGAAGACGAAAGACGATCACAGTCAGTACTTGAAAAAAGAGAGAATCACATCGCCTCCTAAACAGGGCTTGCTTGAGAACCGTATTCCCAATTCTCAAATCCCGTAGGCAACGACGTATTACTCGTTGCAAATCTACCAATCTCGAGTGTTTTAGCAAGTTAACGATAAACGACCGGAAGTTACCCCAAATCCGTGGCAAGTCAAGGTCCGAGATATAGCCACGTGGTTTGCCATGGTACCAGAAGATTCATTTCAACATGTATGGATTAGAAGGGGAAGTTCCAGCTGTATGAGTGTGTAGCGACAGATTGTAGCGACTACCACCAAGGTCTGTATCCCAGGCTCCATACCTTCCTTCTGACGGGACTCCTCCGGACGCTCCCGTACCATCCATTTCACAATATCCTTTGTGGAAATGTTCTCCGTGGGGCAGAAGTGTAGCCTTGTTAAAACGCTGTCTCACCATGCAGAAGACCTGGGTGTCCCGAGCCATTGTTGGAACAATATTCGAATTTGTGCGTAAGACTATCCACCAGGTACAGATGCTTTATGAAAAGATGTGTGAAGCCCATTTCTGGTGACCCCCGCCGTGATATTGTTGGACTATTGCTAGAAGCGGCGTAAAACTCAACCCACTCACTCTGGTGACTCCTGCCGTGATATTGCTGGAATGTTGCTAAAAGCGGCGTAAAACTCAAATCACTCACTCACTCTGGTGACCCCTGCCATGATGTTGCTGGAATATTGCTAAAAGCAATGTAAAACCCAACTCTTTATGAAAAGCTACAACCTGTAAAACAAGACATGCTCGTTGTGAACGTCATGCCGAAGTCCCCGGTTCGAGTCCCCTCATGGGTATAAAGTGCAAAGCCCTTTTCTGGTGTCCCCCGCCGTGATACTGATGGAATATTGATGAAAGCGGCGTAAAACCACACTCACTCATTCTTTCTGAATATCAGTAAGCCATAGATATAGGTTTCGCTACTGTATTGTTTTTAAAGTCCAGTGCCTTTAAAAAGATCCGGGTTGGAATCGATATTCAGTAACCCATGCTTGTCGTGAGAGGCGACTAATGGGATCGGGTGGTCAGGCTCGCTGACTTGGTTGACACATATCATTGTATCACCAATAGCATAGATAGATGCTCATGAAGTTGATCACTGGATTGTCTGGTCCAGACTCGATTATTTAGAGACCGCCGCCATATAGCTGGAATATTCCTGAGTGCGGCGTTAAACAACCAGCCAACAAGTGTCCTCAGTTTTGGTGAGTAATAGAGACTGATTATTGTATGTTTTGTATGTATAATGAACATGTTTCATCAGAATAAAAAAATGAATACAAATAATTTGCTTTCTTTTGTTACGTTTTCATTTCCCAATTGGAAGAATGTATTAAACCAAAAGTCTGTACGTACATCAAAAATGGCAGTGTCAGATATTACAGAACAAGCGAATGTGACACATGTCATCGTGTCCCAACTGCGTAGATCCATCTCATGCTGTTGATCACTGGTTTGTTTGGCCCAGATTTGATTAGTTACAGACCGCCGCCATATAGCTGGAATATTGCTGAGTGCGGTGTTAAACACGCTTTCACTGCGCGCTCTGCTGACCGGCGGGCACCTCGTATGTTATGTATCCGACACGAGCCTAGTGGTTGAAGCATTTGCTCGTCACGCCGAAGACCGGGTTCGATTCCCCACATGGGTACAATGTGTGAAGCTTAGCTGCTCCCCCAGCCCTACTGCTTCATCAAACAACCTACACATCACCCGTGAAGATCCGGGTTAGAATTGATCTTCAGTAACCCATTCGTGTCATAAGAGTTCGACTGACGGGATCGGGTTGCCAGGCTCGCTGACTTGGTGGACGGATGCCATCGTATCCAATTGTGCAGATCAATTCCCGTGCTGTTGAGCACTGGATTGTCTGGTCTAGACTCGGTTATTAACAGGCCGCCGCCATACAGATTGGCGTTAAACAACAATCAATGAATCCTTCAAATATGTACGTATCATAAGCACTCAGAATATGAGTGATATTAGGAAAATGTTGCAATTTACAATAGTTTAAACCACAAAAATATACAAGGAAGACATAGCAATAGCTCAATCTGTACATAAATACATCTTAGCATGTGGTACATTCAATTAACCACTATGACATTTAAGAAAGTTACGATATTTTAAGGATAACAGCTTTTTATGACGTTATCTGTACATAAATACATCTTAGCATGTGGTACATTCAATTAACCACTATGGCATTTAAGAAAGTTACTATATTTTAAGGATAACAGCTTTTTATGACGTTATCTGTACATAAATACATCTTAGCATGTGGTACATTCAATTAACCACTATGGCATTTACGAAAGTTACTATATTTTAAGGATAACAGCTTTTTATGACGTTATCTGTACATAAATTATTCATGTGGTACATTCAATTAACCACTATGGCATTTACGAAAGTTACTATATTTTAAGGATAAGAGCTTTTTATGACGTTATCTGTATATAAATACATCTTAGCATGTAGTACATTCAATTAACCACTATGGCATTTAAGAAAGTTACTATATTTTAAGGATAACAGCTTTTTATGACGTT